GGTTTAGGGTTTGAGGACTTCAGGGTTACGCGCTTGAGGGTTTCAGGGTTTAAGAGCTCCAGGGCTCTTGAGGCTCTACGGCATTATGGCTTACGGTTTTTTTCGACGCTCACACTCGGACAAAGCCTGGCAAGGATATGGGAAAGAACTCACAAATAGGTTCACTGAGGACTGAGTTCTTCGTTGTCAGGCAGGGCTTGTAAAAACGTCACTTGGCTTACGGTTTAGGGTTGGGAACAGGGTTTGTAATAAGGCTCATCTGATGTATTGTGGGGTCCAGGGTCCATGGATTTTGGTTTTGGGGCTTGAAGGTAAAGGTTTAAGGGTACAATCGAAATTAATAATGTCAAGAGCCTGGGGCAACCATCGATATGCCCTTCCGCAAAAGACCCAGCACCTACTGGAACCCACCGAAATCACCGTGTGTTCCTCCGGCCCCCAATATATTTTCTACATGTCCTCCGTAAAAACCCAGCTGTCGAGGCTGGCTTCCGTTTTGTTGTGCATTTTGGGGGGTTGGGAAAGCCGATGCCGTAAGGCGCAAACCTCAAAATCAAAAGGGTTCAGGGGGTTTTGGGGTGTAACCTTCCGGGGCGTATTCTGGGACGTCTCGCCTCGGACCGTCCTGAACCACTTCATCAATCTGCTCGCGGAGAAGGTCGCCTCGCCAATACGGCCGCGAGAGACGGCTGAACATCAGGCCTACTCCGACGATTCCAGCAACCCAACGTTGATAAGACTGTTTCTTTTTCAGCCCGCACCGAACGCAAAAAGTCCACAAACCCCAGAATAACACCGGCAAGCACCCTGGTTTAGTAAGCATGTCCAGGACTCTGTAAACCATCTCATATGTTCTACATGGGCTCTTAGTCGAGTATACCGTGCCCTGCACCCAAAAGCCCGAGCCTAACCTCTGAGCCCTGGACCACGGCATCCCCCAAGCACCGGATGCCACGAAGCTTCGCAGACTCAGAGTATGCTTCAAGGTATACCAACCATACATGACAGATGGCTAACCACAACAGCCTGCATGAGGAGAGATACATGGGTATATATATACACAGACCCATGCCTATGTCTACATCCTTCCCTCATATATATATATATATATATATGTGTGTGTGTGTGTGTGTATAGATATACGCATACGTATATATGCGTACATAATATAGAAGCAATCTTACAAAAAGAACGTTTAGCCCCAAGGCGGGATCCGCCTCCTCGCCTCCAAAAACCCGCGGCCTACACCCCAGAAACATCTCACAGTTCAGCGTCCAACCGTGCCATACCGAAACCCTAAATGCCGTAACTGCTCGGGGCGGAAACTCTAAACTGAAAAGTCTAGTTAGCCCCTACATCATGAAAGCTAGAAATTCCGAACCCAAACTCGGAAGTGCTTCCCTAAACCGTACACCCTTATTGTAACCCTTAGAATATAAACCCAACCCTAAACGGCTTAGACCAACTGCCGCTCAACGCAGGCCTTTCGTCTTTGCGACTCCCTTGGCGAGTGTGCCGTCCGAGCCGAGGGGGATCACCTGCCCCATCTTATACGGCTTGTTTTTTGGGTTTAGGGTTTTTTTGAGCACCTTTTTCCACCTAGCAGTTTGGGTTTAGGGTTTAGGGTTTTTGCTTTTTGTTGGCCTTCTCCGTTGCTGAGCGAATGGTTTAGGGTTTAGGGTTCGGGTTGAGGGGTTTTGCGGGAATTGAACAGCTGCTTTCACGAGTGGACGAACGAAAATGGATAGCCTGACGACTAGGAAATTGGATACAGGCGCTGAGACCATTTAGCCCCAAACGGCTGAATTTGTGTAATCTAGGGGCCTTACTAATTGGAACAGGGTTTTGGGGTACAATATACCATACTTATAAAAAGGAACCTCAAAAATAGTATTGGTAATTGATCGAGAGCAACCCCTGGCATGATAATCTAACCATTGAACATGCATGCGCATTGAATTTTGACCGTCTTGCTCATCACTGTGCGCGGCACGAATGAAAAGCAATAAATCTCTGCGCCGCACTCTCTCGCCCCGAAACCTGCAGATCTCCTGGCTAGTGCCCGCAGGCCGCAAGCCTCAAAGGCCCTGAAGCCGCGATCCTAAACCCGAAAATCCAAACCCAAAAGCCTGAAGCTTTGTAATCCGATATACCTTATGGTTCAGAGTTTAGAAACCCTATCCCGTAAACTTAAAGTTGGAAACATACCTGCCTTGACTGCGGTGGGCCAGGCGGAGGTGTTCCCTGCTGTGAGAAGGCGGAACCTTGATTTGGCGAGCTCCCTACAAGAAGTTCGGGATTTAGGGTTTCAGGGTTAACAGAATCCTAAAGCCTGAGCCCTATAGGCCCTTAGGCCCCACACTAATACTCCACTCAGAGTGCCGAATCTTGGAAGTGTTCCAGCGCAGCAAGATCGAGTCGGTTTGTTCTAGGCTGCAGGGAGCTAGGCCGCTCGCTTCCATCATTTGTGAAGGCTTACTGACTCCGGCTTACTGAAAGACTATAAACCCAAGGAAGGGATTAGCTGATGTGCAACTTTATTGAAAGCGCGAAAGCATTGGGGCAGAGGTCAGGCCAGGCGGTTTCCTAAACAGATTGATGGATGTCTGCTCATTGCCACGGCACTCGTCTGTTCTAGTTCTTAGTAGGCCTTAATTACTGCATTTTTTGTTTCTGTAGTGCCACTGTGCACTGACTGGCGCCGGACTCGGACTCTCAGTTCATGTCATGCCAAGCTAAGCTTACCTATAGTCTCCATTGTAGTTCCTTTTTGGGGATACCGTATAGAATTTATATATATATATATATATTTTGGTGAAACCAAAATGAAGAACTACAATGGAGACTATAGGTAAACTCTAAACCCCCAGGCTAACTGAGTTTTGGACTTGGAGTCCGGATTGCTTCCCGGTTGCTCTTGGGGCTAGAGGTCTTTCTGGCTAAGAGTATTGTGTTTGTGGCTGTCATGTAGGTCGCAGGCCCGAAACTTCGACCGTAAATAAAGGCCCAACACGCAGTCCGAAGATTGCCGCTGCGCCACAGTTCACGAGGGTGGTGAATGAAGAGTAGTAGCCGTAGCCCCAGACCCTATAACCCTAAACCCTAAACTATAAACAACCCTAAACCCTAAACCCTAAACTATACACAACCCTAAACCCTAAACTATAAACAACCCTAAACCCTAAACCCTGCCCTAAACTAAACACAACCCTAAACCCTAAACTATAAACAACCCTAAACCCTAAACTACAAACAACCCTAAACACTAAACCCTAAACTATAAACAACCCTAAACCCTAAACTATAAACAACCCTAAACCCTAAACCCTAAACCCTAAACTATAAACAACCCTAAACCCTAAACTCACGAACCAGGTATGGATTCCTTTGAATGCTTTGGTGCAGCTGGTACATGGGCTCTGCAAGGTACGAGCCTCCTCTGCGCACCACAGCTGGGAAAACGACAAGACGCACACCAAGACGCCCTGCATGCCCAAACAACTAAAGCTACCCTGAAGCCTCAAACCCAAAGCCGGAACTCCGCAAGCAACCCTATGCAACTTTTCTATTTCTACAAATCCTTATGAAGCCCTTACACAACCAAGTCAATCAAACACAGAGCCTAAAACCTGGCTCAAGGTCCCCTGAGCCCTCATGTTGGCCGCGCAGCGCATGGACGTGCGCGGAATCTCGCCGGCCGTAGGCCCACCAAAGCCCTGGGTGAGGGTTACACGATGGTCTGCAAGGTGAAAGGGCGCAACAGCTCTGTTGATTTCGGCTTATGGGATTTACTCAACCCCCCCCCCCCCACAAACAAAAAGGTAAAATATTGGCCCAAAACCTCTAAACGGCGATGATTCTGCATACTGTTGGGGTTCAGGTAATGATTGTTCTTCGGGGTTCTCAGGGTTCTCGCGCGGTCACGGGGCTTCAGGTTGACCTTAGGGAGATGAGGTCGTTAGAAGGCTCCTACAAGAATCTTACAGAGGGTTTAGGGTTTAGGGGTTTGGGGGTTTAGGGGTTTAAGGGTTTGGGGGTTTAGGGTTTAGGGGTTTGGGGGTTAGGCTTTGCGGGTTTACACTCTCACAACTCGGACAAGCCAGGCGAGGATCCACAGGTGCATAAGTCGGCGTGACACTGCAAGTTGCCCATGCATGCCACTATCCAAACCCAAAAAGGCATGGCTTGACCCTAAACCAAAACTTCGAGAACAACGTGGATGCGGGCTCAGCTACTTTGAGGACATGTGCCTCAAATGCGGGCTACGGCTCTGTTCCGAACTGAGACGCTGTACGGCCAACCAGAAAGGCTGCGACACCGTTAGTCATCCGACATAGGATGTGAAGCCAACAAGCCCCGGGTGCATCTAAGTTGTTACTCAGGACATATAGCAACATCGAGGTGAAACATGCGACTCCATCTGTTACAGGAGGAAATCATGTGTGTGCGGCCACGGCAGCTCAGTACCGTACGTAATGCTCAATCTTCGAGAGGGTGCCGTCATCATCGTGTCATGCGCCAACTCTTCATGGCGTTGAGTCGTCAGCTATTTCTGCTTTGACACCTTTTTCCATCAAGCTCTGCTCCCTTGCACATCCTCATGTCTCGTACAGGGGACCTATCTTGTCCAGCTTCCCGCATCCACCGCATGCGCATGGGGCCAGTAAAATTCGCAGTCTGTCTTCCCGAGAGATAGCGACTGGACCTTTCTGTCCGTCGAACTAGCAGTGAGGTGCGGGGTCACGCAGAAGTCGTGGAAACTGTAGCCACGACAAGTGCCAAGCTGGGCAGCAGAAGTAGACCGGCCATACCCATGTAAGCTCATCCGCCGTAAATGGGCTCGTCCCACAGGAAAACAGCATCACGCAGCGGCCACCATGAATGGGTTCGGCAGGGAAGCACCATCGCATAGTGGCTCAGTCAGTGCCGAACAGGAAAAAGAGCCCTTCGTGCTGTGCTCAGCCGACCCTTCTGGTCTTTCCGACACTTTTGCAGTCTCAGAATCGATCAGTGTGTTGGGGCAGCTTTGGTCTCAGTTGCTGTCATCGCGATCAAGCTGTCTGACGCAAGCACAGGTTCCGGTCCAGATCCAGGGGACAAGTTCATGGCTCTGTCCATGGCTTCCGCTCGGTCGGGGGTTCGTGGTTTGCTTAGCCTACAAAGGAAAACGGGATAAAACATAATAAAGTCACTATATAGCCCATAGGTCATCTCCCGGGTGACAGGACCACGATGACGTAAATCGACCGACGACGACGCGCCCATCAGGGAAAAACATGCACATGCAAAGAGTAAATTCACAGTCCAGCAAAGGCAGTCCAGCACAGGGCAACGACTTAAAGGCATGAGTGCAGTTCACAAACAAAAGGGTAGGTTCAGGGAAGCAGGGGGAGGGTGACATCATGGTTGGCGAATGACCGAGTTGGCAGGCAGGACGACGGGGAAAGAAAACAGACAGGGCAGCTAGCAGGACCGACGAGGGAGGATGATCAAAAGAACGAGGGTTCAACGAATCATTTAGCAGTTGATGGTTTGCATAACCTGTATAACCATCGAAAGAACTATGTTGAACACCCTTCTGCGTCGGGTTGAGACATTTCAAATTAATCACTCTTGGTTTTGAATGTCACCGTAATCTCAATTCAAAACGTGCAAAGCGAATTAAACGCACACTTTTCAACTGGCGGCAATGAAGATCTGACCTACATCGAAGAGCTCTTCGTGAAGCTCAGACTGTGGCACCAGTCCAGGATACCTCTCTTGGAGAGAAGCTGCCATTCGCAAAAGAAAAGGATAGCGTGATCCGCTATCATGGTAAAGTGAAAGCCATCTAGCAAGTGAAATTGCAGCATCACTTCGACCAACCTCAGCAAAAGGCTCTGGAGCGTACATTAGGCTACTCCGCTCTCGGAAAAGGAGCAGCGCAACAACTCTGGACAATGGTCTTGACCACTGCAAGCTGTGCCAGCTTCGACCATGGAATGTGACCTCATTAGTCGATAGGCCGACAGATGCGTGCGGCGGTGGACGCCAAAGCGTCCTGAATAAGTACCAGAGCGCAACACCAAAATCATCCCAGTTAAACTCGGAGGATCTCATCGCCATAAGCATATCATCGCCACCAACCAATGAAGGTAAATGTGGCCTGGGAATACGCATATATCGCAAAAGAATCTTCTTGCGAGCAAGGTTGATAAAGGTATCGAACAGGTAGGTGAAAGCGTCGCCAGATCCCATCAGGCCGACAACAGTATAAAGCTGGTTGCCAATCTGAATACGTCGGAATAAGGCGCCGTGGATAATGACCAGAAGTATGAAATGAATAAATTGTGTCTGGTCCTTCAATAATGATTTCCTGAAACAAAGCATCAGTATTTTCAAGCAGCACAAGATTTCCCAGGGTTGGACCCCTGCGCAGGTATACTCGATGCCCTCATATTCGAAGACCTTACCGGTGTCGAAAGATGGATAATCAGTGTTTTTTTTGCATCCAGGACTCTTGCAAGCAGCCGGGAAACTCCACAAGACAGTGCGTAAACCCTTCAGCAGCACTCGTGGCTACTAAAGGATTGAACATACGCGACACACGAGTTCAGTCGTGGCAATATCAGTAAGCAAAACTATTTCAAAGGATTTGAATAAATCAGACTGTAAGGAAGTGAAGTTATGAACATTCGCCTCATACACCTCAAGTGTGAGACTGACAACGAAGATGAGCGCCGAGCAGCTCATGCGGACATGCGCGAAACTCCGCCATAGTTCAGTGTACAGCAGTTCG